AAATGTGTGGCATCCTATTGGCTGATGGGACTCCCATCTTGACAGGGGATGTTAGTGTTAAAGTACCTTCAGTGACTCAAAGTGCTGCTTGTGCCCTCCGCAGTCCTTTGTGACTCTGGGAGCTTCCTCTTTATGCTGACTGTGCATGAAGATGTCCAGATGGGCCCGGACATCTGAGGACATGAAGGAAGGAAGGCAGGCATGCCTGGGACGGAGAGATGAAGGACTCTGCGCCAGTGGCACACTTCCTTTGCAGCGCAGTGGGGCTCCCAGTTGGCATGCCTTCAAGCACTTGCAGGCTTCAGACAGCTCCTTGTGGGTTATTTCAAGGTTTCTGGCAGGCGCAGTGCTCAGGGACTCATGTCAATGAGCTGGCTTTTAATATTCTGGAGTAGTCTCTGACTTCCCTGCCAGCATCAATGCGGCCTTTCTTGCCAGGGAAGGAGGTGTATTTATAGCTGCATCTGCTGTATTTTGGGAGGCAGGGAGAGCAGAAGGCCCAGAAGCAAAACCACAGGGTTGGGTCTTGGGCAGTGTTTCTCAGTCTTCCTAATGCCACGACCCCTTAATCCGGTTCCTGATGCTGTGGTGACCCCCAACCATAAAATTATTTTCATTGCTACTTCATAGCTGTCGTTTTGCTACTGTTATGAATGGTCATGTAAATATCTGATATGCAGGATGGATTTTCATTCACTGGACTTGGCACAAATACCCGATACACCCAAATTTGAATACTGGTGGGGTGGGGGGGAGGTGTGATTTTTGTCATTTGGGAGTTGTAGTTCCTGGGATTTATAGTTAATCTACAACCAAAGAGCATTCTGAACTCCATCAATGATGGAATTGAACCAAACTGGGTACACAGAATTCCCATGACCAACAGAAAACACTAGAGTCTGGAGTTGTAGTTCACCTACATACAGAGAGCATTGTGGACTCAAATAATGATGGATCTGGACCAAAAACTTGGCTCAACTACTCAATATGCCTGTGAAGGAGTGTGGTTAAAAGCTTACTGCCACCTAATGTGTGAGGAAAGCTGGGCAACGATCAATATCAG